GAGAAAACATTTGGCCTTTGGTTCTTTGGGATTGGCTTATTTTGCTTAGCATGATATTCTCTAGTTCCATCCATTTACCAGCAAATCCCATAATTTCATTCTTTTTTAATGGTGAGTAATATTCCATATGTATATACACCACGTTTTCTTTTTCTATTCATCTGGACATTATTACTCTATGTGAATATATGATTACATGACTGGTGTAATTCTACATCATGTACAACCAGAATAATGAGAAATTATGTTCCATTTATGAATGATGTGTCAAAAGGAATTCTGTCACATATAATTAACTAGAATAAATAAAAACAGAATTAATAAACAATGTTATTGATGAAAAAAAAAGAGAGACTCCTGTAGAAGGGCGTGAGGCAATTGGGGAAGTGGGTAAGATATCAGACTTCCTGGAGTATGCAGCAGTCAGAAGCAATGGATTAGACGTACACAATTGGGGGATCTTAAGACCCTAGTACTGAATGAAAAACAGAGACAGTTGACCTGTAATATGAAAACATTTAGTAAGTTAAAAACACTTTACTAGGTGTGGTGGCACACACCTGTAATCCTAACGAGTCAGGAGGCTGAGGCAGGAGAATGTCAAGTTCAAGGCTGGGCTCAGCAACTTAGGGAGGCCTTGTTACAAAATGAAAAATAAAAAGGGTTGGGGATGTACATTAATGGTAGAGTACATCTGGGTTCAACCTCCAGCACTGCAAAAACGAAACAAATAAATAAAATAAAAGCAATAGTTAAAAAAAAAACCCAATACTTACACACAAAACCATGACACACATACCCTTTGTCAGAGTTTATACAGAGGATTTCACAAACTAAAATAGGAAGGAGGGGGAATAGGATTGGGGATGAAAGGAAACAGAGAGCAGCAAACATTATTGAACTCTGGAAGGCATTTTATTACTAGACCTGCAAATCAGTGAGGGAGACTGGGCGCAGTGGAACTTCCTGGGCAACCACCTTTAGCTGAATGCCTGACACTAAGTATTGGCTTACTGAAAGACTAGGAATAAAGATCTAACTGGTGACATCATCCAGGACTTCATGGATTCCTTGATGTTACTCTCTTGGATGTGCCGGGGAATCTATGAGTTTGGCCCAGGAGAAGGAAGTAAACTCATCCTATCCACTGTAACTATTTTCTACTAAAAATCCCTCCTATATATAAAAAAAAATAAAGTGCCAAATTGTCTGTCAAGAAGATACAGTTTATTTGTTTGGTCCTAAACAAGACATTTTAAAAAGCTGAAGATGGATCAGTTGTATATCTATCTATAGCCTAGAAGTTCATTGGTACAAGTTCTTAAATAATGTTTGGCAGAATATATTATTATCACCCTTTAAACAAACTACAATCTCCAAAAATTCCTATCATGCCAGCAATGGCACTTACTCTTACTGGTAACAGCATCCAAGGAATTCTCTAAGAGTGAACTTCAGGTTTCAAATCCAGTTTCTCTGGATTTGAGACATCAGATCCTCCAGCATCAAAAGAGAAATGGCGATTACTGCACAGCTTGTGTGTGGAATAGGGATTTAGCAGCTGCTGGGTTCATCTGTTCTCTTAAGTTCTATTTCTTTCCGTAGTTCATCTCCCATCATTAATCTCCTGGATAGTTGTCTCATTTCTACTTTCCCTTAGCCTAAATCAGATTTCCTAAGCTTGCTGTTTGGGGCCACACAGCTGTGGTGTCTATCCTGCTCACAGCAGGATATTGAGCAGCCCTCTTGGCCTCTACCTACCAGATACCAGGAACACCCCCAGTATGACAACCAAAACCTCTCCAGACTTTGTCAAGGGTCTCCTGAGTGCAAAGCCACATCTAGTTGAGAGCCACTGGCCCACAAAGAACCAGGGACACACAAACATTTTTGCATAACATCTAGTTTAGAAATGTTCTTGCTTTCAGGATACAGGATGCAGAATTCTCTTTCCTTCTTCTGTTAGGCAAATATCTAAAACTAGAAGCTCAGAGAAGATGGTTCCAGGGAACTATCTGGCTAAATCCAAGTGTGGCAAAAGGAAGATTTAGGACAATCTCTGAACTAATTCAGAAATAAAACAAACAAAACTTCCTGTCTAGTTGAATATTTGGGCAAATGTGGTATTCAAGACTGTATTTTACAGGGAAAAGTTCTTCATTTTCAACTTTCCATGGCCAGTGACTAGCTGACTGCACATGTGGAGTGCTGATGGGAGTTGAGAGATGTGAACTTTGGGGTCAAGATGCTCAAGCTTTGTCAATGGGTTGGAATCCTGGGTTTTGTAAGATTTGTAATCAGAGAACAATCCTGGTGTTCTTGAATTAGTTCTTTCAACTCAGTGGCCATATCAGTGGAAAAGACTTCTAAAAATTAGAGTTCATAGAACTAAGAAAAACAAAAAATGTGTGACAGAATTGAGAACCTACCTGAACAGTTTAGATGAAATGAGTAAGTCCTTGGCTTCCTCTATCTGTAGCACAGAACATCAGGAAATGTTTGTTGTTGATCATGTAGATGGTTGTGATGGGGGAGAGCAGGTGGAATTAAGTTATAATTTGCTTAGGAGTTTTTTTTTTTTTTTAAACAGTTGTAGATATTATTCCTAATTAGCTGACTGAAGACCAGGTTTAGGGAGACTAGAATCCCTAAGAGGGTCGTCTAATCTTGAACCAAGGGTTCTAAACCCTCTAGATTTATAGTGGAAATAACAAGTGCAATTAATTTTTTCTACTTCCACGTTTTCATTGAGGGATGTGCATAATTGGTTAGGGAGGAATTCATCTCCCTGTGATGAGGCCTGGGATACCATGGTGAGTGAAGGAATGCTAAAATATGCCAGAGAGAAGGAAGATATGGAAGTTGGGAAGCATCTGGAAGAAAAAAGAAGCCCAAAGGGAATGACAGGATTGATAAATTGGAAGCTTAATGCTGTGAATGTTAGAAGAAAAGCTTCGTAAAGAAAGAGATTAGAATCTCAGAGAATAAATTGCCAAATGGAGTTCAGGGTGAATCCCAGGGGATCAATGCCGATTTTGCCTATCATCCACACAGCCCAGCCTGCGGTCCCTGTCTTCTCCCACCCACTCTCACAATGCCTCACAATGGCCTGGGGACACAATCCAGACAACAGCACATTTTACAGACAAAAATATGAAATCCAGGAGGATGGGTGCTTGTTCAAGTCAGAATTCCCATGCAGGTTGTGTAGTACTTACTCCGTTATACCACACGGCTGCCCAGGAAGCACAGATTCTCAGTGAGCAAAATTTTATGGCTATAAAGTCTCAAGACTGAACCAATTTCTCTGGAGAAGAAAGAAATTAGAGGGGTAAACATTGAAAAAGAAGAGGTATATGTTTAAGTGAGCCTTTTATTTACATTTATGGTAAATTTTACATTCTCCATTCTCCATTCTGTTTAAAATGTTTTCTATAGCTTACATGAACAGGGCTGGAAATGGATGTTCAGGGTAATGGAGGTGATGAGTCGGGAAGCTGACAGATAATAAAAGAAGGAAAGGGAACGGCTGTCTTTGTTTTGCCAGGGACTAGTCTTCTCTAAATTCTTGGAAAACAGAAAACATTAGTGGGCCTTTACCTTCATGAACTTGGACCCCAGTTCAGGGCAGCATTGTCTCTGGAGAGCAGGGAGAGAAGGAAACAAATAGGGCTGGGCCCCACTGCATTTTCTGGCTTGTAGACTACAGTTAAGCTGAGCCTGTTCTTGGAATGGTCAAGTCCAAAAGACTGAGCCTCCAGGCCATGGGACCATGCATCCAGGTGCATTTCAGTGCTCAGGAGAAAATGAGCTAGATAGGCAATGAAATCAGGCATATGAGAAGAAATCCTTGTTTTTGCAACCTTGGTCTGTACTGGGTGAAACTTATTTTAGAATGAATAGAGAATCTCTTCATCTGCTCAGGGAAATTGCTGGCTTGAATTTATAGTTGATTTCTTCCAGATGGGCTCATTGAACAAGTCATAATTCAGCTTTCTGTGCAAGGAGAAAATGGGAGGTCATCTCAAATTGTGAAGAAATATTGAGAAAATTAAATAATTTTCTGGATGAACATGCATAAGGCAAGGATGGAAGTAGAGGTAAATGAATCCTCTCCTATTCCTCCACAAAAGATATTATTTGATTTGTGTATAATTTATCACCTTGGATTTAGGAATGAAATTGATTATATTTCAAAAGCAGCTAAGTGGAAATTTATTTGAATTTGAATACATGGAGCCAGAGAAGGAAAGGACATAAGTTAAAACACTCAAGAAAATTGCATGAAGAGGCTAATGACTGGAAGGAGCATAGGGTTCTGGCCTTTTAAAAGTCTCACATTAGGGCTTGATCCCATAGTTTGTAAGTAATGTTTTGGGAATGTCAGTGCTCTCTCAATGCTCTATCAACTGATATAGAGAATCACCAATGTGTAGCATTTCTTCTAATATTATTTCCATTAAGTTCTTTGAGAAAAGCTAGTTAAAGTAAAATCATTGCTCTCATGTAGCTTAAAAGGCCCACTGAAATTGGATGTCTTATGAAAACATGCTAATTATAACAATGCACATTAGGAGGAGTGGGGCAAGGGAGAGAAGGATCCTGCCAACTTTCTTCTGTCATGAAAAATGAAGAGGCCTGTGGCTAGGGTTCAAAATTGGAGTGTTGCTCTCCTCTTTGAATGCATGAAAGATGCAGGTAGACTTAGGCAGGCAGGACCCACAGAGTCCTCCAAGGCTGGAGAGATTCAGCATGAACTGAATTTGGGCAAAGTTCCGTTTTAGTCAGCTTTTCATTGCTGGGAACAAAAGACCTGACAAGAACAATTTTAGAGGTGGAAAAGTTTATTTAGCACTCATGATTCCAGAGATCTCAGTCCATAGAGGACTGACTCCATTTCTCTGTGTACAGGATGAGGCAGAACATCATGGTGAAGGGTGTGGTGGAGGAAAGCAAATCAAGAGGAAAGCAATCAGGAAGCAGAGAGTTCTCCACTCACCAGACAAATTATAAACCCCAAAGCCATGCCTCTAGTGACTACTTCCTCCAGCCACATCCTACCTACTTACAATTACTGCCCAATTAAGGGTTAATGTGTTGATAAGGTTAAGAGTCTCATAGCCCAATCATTTCACCTCTGAACTTTCTTACATTGTCTCACACATGAGCTCTTGGGGGATACCTCATATCTAAACCATAATAGCTCCCTTGGAGTAGAATGCCAGGCAAACTGCAGGCAGATTCAGGGCTTTACAGACAGCACAGGGTAGTGAGGAAGCACAATGGTTAAGAGTGTGTGCTTTTGAGCCAGATCCTCCTGGCTGTGAGATTTTAGACACATTACTTCACTTCTTCAACACCTCTTCTTCATATTCAAAACGAATATAATAGTATATTGATCCCACAGGATTCCTATGGGGATTGGAGACATTATCTGTGAACTTTGCATGCCACTGCCTGGAACACTGTGAGCAAGTTTTAGCTTAGGATGATTTTATTTCTTAAACCATAGGTAGCCAGGCTTTATCAGACAACAAATAATGAGAGTGGTGAGCCTCAGGAAGTCCTTGCAGATATGGGAGGTTCAACAAATGGCCACCCTAAAAGAGGGACTCAGCCAATATCCAATCCCCACCATGCAGTCCTGGACCCCATTATCCAGCCAGCTCCAATATCCTCTTTCATTTCAAATGACCTGCTAGACACAGTAACTGGTCCCACATTGTGACACAATTGGGATTTTTTGTTTCAGAGTTCAAGTTAAACAGATTTGAGCCATGTTATATTTTGGTTCCACAGCAATTGATTATGCAAGTTTCATATCCTCTTGGCTTTAGTTTCTCCAGTGTCCAAGATCAAAGAGTAGAAAAAGAAAGAAACAGCAATGGCTTTGAGAGAATGGTCACCATCAACTCCAACACCCCTTCTACAATGAGACTGGAAGAGTGGGAGATCTGTTAACATCACTGATTAATTGGTAGGATGTTTTGCCAGTTCCTCATATTTTGAATACCATGGCAAGAAGCAAGCAACCCACAGAGCTGGAAAGAGAAAATACTATAAAATACTCTCACCTGTAAAACGGGTGAGTCATTGGAGAAGGAGCAAGACAAGGAAAAGGGAAAGGAAAAAACAGAATAACAGAATAACAGAATAAAAGGGAAAGAAAAAAGGAAGATTGAAGAGAAATGAAGCTTTCTAACATGGATGGAGCTTAAGAATTGGAAAACGTTAATAATAACAGTTATAGAAAAGTGGGAGTGAGGTCAATGGAAAGCCCCAAAATATTGTAAATACAAAAGAGCCTTTGGCATTCTGATCCATCTCCCGTCTTTATAGTTAAAGAAAAGAAGGAAAAAAGGAAGAAAAAAAAAAGAAAGAGAAAAGAAAGAGAGAATCTGTCTTGGGTTTTGTATCTAGAGGATTGGACTATGATCTATAAGGCCCTTTCCAAAGATAATAATCTGTGAATTTCTAAGTCATATATATTTACACAAGACTCCTTATTGGTTAGGATAATTCAGTATGGTGTGCATAACTTCCATGATAGCCATTTGGGGATGATGTGAATTTGTTTGATTTTCATGGTTTTCAAAAAGGATCCTAATGCCCTTCAATGTTCTAAGTAGCTTATTGTGTGATTAAAAAAAAAAAAAATACGAGCCCCTTGGGTATTCTGGGACTAATGCTGAGCTTTTGGTAAAATACGAATCTAGGCTAGAACTAGGTCCTAGAACTTTGTGGCATTCCCCCCGTTTGCTCGTTGTTAAATTCTAGGATATCGGTTTCCTGGGTGTTCAGGTTTTCCATTAAGTACAGCATATCAGGAGAGACTCCAGAGCCGACCTCATAGTTGGTTCCACTGGTCTCCGAGGACGTTTCCGTGTCGATCAACAGAGCGGGCACCGGGCTCAGGGGATCTGGACCTAGGTTTGCCAGGGAGGTGTGGTTAGACTCGTGGAACTCTGGGAGACTCCACCTTTTGGGGAACCTATCCTCAGTTGGGTTTTCCTCGAACAGAAAAAGGTGTCTCTCGTCGCTTTCTGGACCAGTCTGAGGAATAGGCCCCAGAGGAGGTGTCCCCTTTTCGGAGGGGGCCAGGAGTCCTGCTGGGTCCTCCTGCTGCCCAGTCCTGCTGGGTTGAACCCCGGTGAACTCTAAGCTCAAGATGGAGGTAGCGGAGTCATGGTGGTGGCCTTCGTAAGAGGGCTCTGGAGCTTCAGCATTGGTGACCAGTACCTCGGGGACCTGTGGCATTTTGGTGGGGGAGGCCCGCACACTGGACTGCGGGGTCAGGCTCTGCAGAGTGCTGGTCCGGCTGGTCTCCCTGATGGTGGACAGCTCTCCCATGCTGGAGTGCATCTTGGGACTGCTCTCGAGGGAGGGGGGCTGTTTCCGAGTGGGCGAAGCTCTGTGGGGGTTTCTTGAGGGCACGTCCAGCAGGTCGCGAGCTGGGCTGAGCGGGAATAACATGGAGCTGTCGCTGGCCTGCCTCCCAAAGTTCCTCCTCTTGGGGCTGGTGGGGTGCTCGTGGGTACTCAGGAATCGCTTGACTCTCCTGATCATCGAATGCCGTTGGCCGTGCTTCTCATAGTCCCACAGCCACTCCTCGCCAGGGAAGTCAGACTCAGAGTGCCTGAAACAATGACAGAAGGCATTGGGGGCAGACTCTGACGTTAGGAGATGGGTTTGACATTTTGCATTACAGATTTTGGAGATAGGGAAGGGAGACTTTAACTTGAGATAGTCTAGCCAAGGTTCTCCAACTGTTTAGTCTGAGGCCCTTTCATTATTTTATCTATCTATCTATCTATCTATCTATCTATCTATCTATCTATCTATCTATCTATCATTTATTTGTTGTTGGGTACTGGGGATTGGACTCAGGGACACTCAACCACTGAGCCACATCCCCAGCCCTATTTTGTATTTTATTTAAGGGCAGGGTCTCACTGAGTTGTCTAGCACCTCACTTTTGCTGAGGCTACCTTTGAACTCAAGATCCTCTTGCCTTAGCCTCCCAAGCTGCTGGGATTACAGGCCTGGGCCACTGCACCAGGCTCTGAGGACTCTTTAAACTTTTAAATATTATTGAGTACCCCAAAGAGACCTGTTTATTTAGGTTATGTCTATTGCTCTTTACTATATCTGAAATTATAACTGAGGAATGTTAAAAACACAAGGATGTAGAACACATGTTCTATTTAGTGGCTAAGTGATGACATCATCACCTATCTTATAGTTTCTGGAAAAATTCCACTTTATAGTAGCCCCACTCCCCTATCTGTGGAGACATATTCCAAGACCACCAGTGGATGCCTGAAACTGCAGATACTGACCCATACACAAACATTGTAATGCTTTTTCCATCTTACCTAAGCACTTGCACACACAAGCCTGTTTGGTACTAAGGTCTACTCCTGTCTTGGATTACATGGTTGTCTCACATCTCTGTGTGCATTTTTAGTCTTAGTGGGGCTCAAGGAACTACTTAAATCCTTGCCCTTAAAAGACAAATACTCATGCTGTCTCTGGGATCAACAGTAATCATGCTGTCCCAGTCCAGTGTTGGTATACACAAGATGCTTTATGCCAGCTACATTTTATGTGACGTAACAGAAAAATATGCCATGGTATAATGTAGGTATAACCTGAAAGGGCAAAAGGAGCAACCAAAGAAAATGTGTTCCCTGTGTTTATGAATAAAAGATGGATGATTGAGATGATTAGCAGGGTAAGTGTCCTGGGATGGTGTTCGATTACAGCCTCGTGCTGTTACTCTAAAGCCCCAGCAGCGCTCTTGGCTACCAGATAGCCTCCTGACCCACCCTCTGCTGTGCAGATGCAGATTCTGTTACAGCGATTTGGGAAATGCAGACTCATACTTCAGTGGCCCCGGTGACCCTATTCGTTGTATTTCATTAGGTCACATCTCCAGTCACACTTCACAGGGGATCCATTTAGCTTTGGAGGACATCAGAGGAGGGACAGCACAGTTGGTTATGAACATTGCCACATTGGATGTGCTTTGGGATTTGAGGTCAAGCTGGCAATCTCTCTTTATGGACACACATCCATTTGGGATCCTGACTACTTATTTGGGATTTATTTTCCTTAACTACTTCTTGTTTTTAAATTTAGGACAATCATATTTATTTATTTTTATTTTTTTTCGAATATTTATTTTTTGGTTAGACATAATACCTTGGTTTATTTATTTAATGTGGTGTTGAGGATTGAACCCAGGGCCTCGCGCATGCTAGGCGAGCGCTGTACAGCTGAGCCAAAACCCAAGCCCAGGCATAATGTTTATACATGGTGATGAGTTGGAGATTAACTAATTGGAATATAAGACAGATAAATATACTAATTACACCAGTCCATCTGAGCCAAAACCCCAGCAAAGTGGTCTCTCAAGCACAGCAGATAGTGTTCTATGTTAAATTGGTGGGGAAACAGAGCAGTACTACTTTTATTCTTGACTGTGATCCTTAAACATTTTCTATGCCCTATGATACATATTGGCACCAGTCTCTCTAGTCACACTTGCCAAGAATCCAGAGTCTGTTGAAGATCTAAAATGTGTGGCAAGCAGAGCAGTGAAAACAATGTTTATACTGGGCCTAGACTAGAATATTTCAATGTCTGCAGGTGATGGGAGTTCTATTGCTTTTGAATTCCTCCAATCTATGTGTACTTTGGGCTATCTCCCTTGCCAGGGTGTAGGCACATGATCCAGACTGGGTTTAGATCAAGTGCACCCATCATAGATCCAGTTACTCAGGAGGCTGAGGCAGGAGGATCACTTGAGCTCAGGAGTTTGAGGTCAGCCTCAACACATATGGCAATTCACAGCTAACATCATACCAAGGTAAAGGGGAATATTTTTTTCTATAAGATCAGGAACAAGACAAGGTTGCCCACTCTTACTGGAGCAGTGGTCCACTTTATGCTTTGAACATAGCCCTTCCATATTTATTTTTAAATTATAGGTGGACACAATATTTTACTTTATGTCGTGCTGAGGATTGAACCCAGTGCTTCATGCATGCTATGCAAGTGATCTACCTCTGAGCCACAACCCCAGTCCTTCCTTAACTACTTCGACACAATCTGCTAGGAAAAATAATTTATATTATTACTACTTCAAAACTTTGTGACTCAAAAGGAAAAAACTTTCAAATTGGTATAGTGGATATGTACATTCAACTACAGTGAGAGAAATACTTTCCTAATTCATAGACTGAAGAAAAATGAAGTGCAATGGACAAACGGCAAAGAGGCTAGTGTTCTCACTAATGATCTACTGATTGACATGGGGTAGACCTTCTAGGGAAACCCTCTTGCACCTTCCTGCCTCAGGAGAGTGTGCTGTGGATGCATGATATTTATCTGCTTATTTCACACCCCCCCTAATTTATTGATCATCTACCATCAACAATTTGTTGCACTAGATACCTAGTGTGCTAGATACTAAATAATTATAATTTAAAAGGAGGCAGAAGGCATGCATATGAATTACATTTGGGGCAAAGTAAGTTTTTGAGCTGGACTTTGCCACTAAATCAGAATAGGATAAATGGAGAAGGAAGGACAGGGGACCAGGTGGAAGTGATGATGAGCAAATAAGGCAGGAATTAGGGTGTTAGTAAAGAAGAAGAAGAAAAAAAAGAAGTTTTTGAGACACAGAGGACAGTATCAAGCATAGGCTGGAAAGATTGTCCTGGAGTGTGTTATGAAGAGCCATATGCCAGGCCGATGGATTTGGACTTTCTTCCAGAGGCAGTGGGTGGCCACGGATTGTCTTGGAGAATGGAGGGCACAGAGTTGCATGGTATTAGTGTCCAAACTGGAAAGGCTACATGAAAAGCATGTAGTCTGATTAATGCTTAGGATAAGAAATACGACTTGAAAACTTTCTATACTTTTAGTCTGGGTCTTTGGAAGAACACTTGGTGTCCAATGTATCTCAAGAAGTGACAAGTGGTGTCCTTCAGGTATTTATGCCATGTGAGAGCAATAGTCAAACTCTCCAGCATGATGACCAAAGGACCTTTCTTTTTAATACTTCCGTGTAAGATCTCTAACACATCATGCCCACCTCCTAATTTTTCTAAAAGTTATGATTTTCACTATGTCTGTGGTTGATAACAAAATGGTTTAAAGCTTAGAGCACATAATAGAATACTTTAAAATAATCTTTATTTTATTAGGCATGGTGGCACATGCCTGTAATCCCAGCTATTTGGGAGCCTGAAGTTGGAGGATAGCAAGTATGAGAAAACTCAGTGAGACCCTGTCTCAAAAATAAAAAGGGTTTGGGATGTAGCTCAGTGGCAAAGTGCCCCTGGGTTAAATCCTCAGTACTTGGCTGGGGGTCAGGGGCAGTCTTCATTTCCCATTTGAGGGGCTTGGGTGTGTCTTTTAGGTTTTTTATACTTTCTGCTCATTCTTATTTGATTTAAAAATGTACCCTTAGTTTATATAAAGGTTAGTTCAATTCTGAGATCCAAAAATAATTCCATTTAAACAACTATAGCAGAAACATTATATGATGGAATGTAAGCACCCTTATTATATTACTATATACTATAGATGGTCAGCTAAAAAGGCAAGGTTTTATGTTTTGGAACTCATTTGGATTGAGATAGGTAGGTAATTAGAGATAGAAGGACATAAATGGAAAATGCCTCACAGCCATTGCGTTTTAGAGATGGAATAGGAAAATTATCTCTGGTGAGACAGAAAGATTCATTTTGAGAGCTTAGGGAGCCAGGATCGCTGCTACCCTGGCTAACACTTATTAACTGTGTAACCTTTGGAGACTCATGTAACCTCTCTGTGACTTAGTATTATAGTTTGTAAACTGGTGATTATCTTACTTTATTTGCCTTTCAGATTGTTTGGGAGTTTAAGAGGGTAACCTCTGCCAAAAAGTTTTGGACAGTAGAAGATATAAAGAGGACTCTTGTCAATGACTGGCAAACTTTCAGAAGTGGTTTTTAAATAATTATTGATTAATGACAGTGTCTGCCTGAAGGTCACTCCATCTTCTCCCGTTAGAGTGTCCTTTAGCCAGGTGTGTGGTGGTGCGTGTCTGTAACCCCATGACTCAGGAGGCTTAGGCCGGAGAATCACAAGTTTGAGACCAGCCTGAGCAACTTAATGAGGCTCTGTCTCAAAGTAAAAAATAAGAAAGGGCTGGAGATGTAGCTCAGTGATAGAGCACCCCTGTGTTCAATCCTCGGTGCCAAAAAAAAAAAAAAAATCACTGTACATTTAAAATCTTATAAGGGATGATTTAACAGCAATTTCATAGTAAGTTGGGGGCCCTGGGTAAATGGAGAGGAATATAAAGACTGGCAGAAGCTGAGATATTTGAGGAAAGGAAGATAGGGTTGACTAAATAGTGGACCTTCACCACTTGCCAGACATTGCCAACTCTGTTGTGTACATTTATTGTACACTGTAAATCACCACTTCAGATATACAGGACACATGAGAATAAGAAAGGCTGTGTAATATATTGGGCTATTTTTGAAAAGGAGGAGAAGAGTCAGAGAAGGAGAGAAAGAAAAGGTAATGTTAAGCCAGTCAGACTTGTTGCTTAGAGTTGGGTCTAGGAGGGACAGTGTG